CTCCGCCGCGCCAACAAAGCCGCGCGCCCCGCGCGGGCGCATGCGCGGGCCGGCCGCGCGCACCGCCACTGCGCGGACGCGGACACGGACACGGGGCGAGCACCGGACACGGGGTGACCACTGGACACGGGGTGACCACTGGACACGGACGCGGGGTGACCACTGGACATGGGGTGACCACTGGACACGGGTGACCACTGGACACGGGGTGACCACTGGACACGGGGTGCCCGCCGCGGCCACACGGGCGAGCACCGGACACGGGGCGACCACTGGACACGGGGCGAGCACCGCGGCCACGGACACGGGGCGGCCACTTGGACACGGGGCGAGGACCGGACACGGGGCGACACTGGACACAGGGCGGCCACCGCGCCCCGCCTGCCAAACTTCAGCAGGAGCGGCTCCGATGGACACCAGCCCGCAGAGCGACACAGGAGTCCTCCCACGACATCTATCTAGCCAGACGCGATTTGTCTAGGAAAAAGTTTTCTCCAGCTGCTGAATCTATTTGAACCCACCTTACTTCTCTCTCTGAAAGTGAGCTTTGCATTTCAGCAAAGTTTATCTCTTCATTTGGAAAAGATTTTTGAAAAAAAGCTGGATTTAACGTAAGTTCAGGCTTCATGCAGCACCCTTCTATCCCCAGCATCTCATACAGTGCCTCACAAAAGGCCCCAGAGGTTGGACAAACATAGCACCAGGAAAAACACAGTGTGAAAGGGATCTTTATGTGTGCATGTGTGAGGGCCCAGTGCTAATAGCTCAATGTGCTATTGACACATCACAGTGCAAACAGCTAAGTCTTTTTCAAAATAACATGAGTCAGAGTGTCATTCTCAACTTAGCCTTTCCCAGATTTGGGAATTTGTGAAACAAATCATCCCCGTATTATTAAAATGTATTTCTGTAAACAAAGGTAAGACACTGGGAAATGACATTGCTTCTGACTAAGGTTTACTCCAAACACTGCACATGCCGCAGAGGTGTGAACAGACAGAAGTGGTACTGCAACTTCTCTGACAGCCCTCGCCAGAGCGGAGCGTGAGTTACCCTCCTGTACCAGCAGCTGATGCACTTTTAGATAATCCTCCCGTTTGGATAATCCTCTAGTTAGGAACTGGCCATAACAGAGCCGGCCTGAGCCAAGAGAACAGATCAGAGAGAGGCTCTGTCCTCTCCTCACAGGGCCGTCCGAGCCCACCGGGCTCAGCCCAACGCGCAGGGCTCCCGCCCGGGGAAAGTTCGGCAAGTCCCGACCCCACCGCGAACGCTGCGCGCTCGGGACGCGCCTTTGTTCGCCGGCCACGGGGAGCAGGATCGCCTCCCCGAGCTCTTCCCGGCTGTCTGCTGCTCGCACCCTCTGAACCGCCCGGGCACCGGCCCGAGGGAAGGTTCCCCGGGGCGAGCCCCGCGGCGACCGCGGCAGGAGGAGCCGCCCGGCCCCGCAGACCGCAACTTTCCGGGGCCGAGCATCCCCCGGCCCCGCCGAGAGCGGCGGGCGCACCCGCCCCGGGCTCCGCGCATCCCCCAGCCCCGAGCCTCCCCGCCCCGACAGAGCCCCAGCTCCGGTCCGCGGGCAGCAGCACGAGGAATTAACACCCGCGGGAATAATCACCTTGTTGTAGTTGTAGTAACCCAAACACTGGGCAAAGTCCAGGTTGGAGGGGTCTCCGGGGAGCGCGCTGCCTGCCGCAGCCGGGTAAAATCTTACATCCATGCTGGAGATTTGGTCCACTTGGAGAGACCGCCGGGAGGTTTAATAGATCCACCTTCAAGTGCCTTCCCCGGGGTAGGGCCACGGGCAAAGCGCCGAGGGAGCGGAGCTGCGGGGCGCCGAGCCTGCCCGAGAGCGGGGACAGCGAGGGCCGGGGGGCGGCGGGGACAGCGAGGGAAGAGGCGGCGGAAAAGTGCAGGTAAACAAGGAGGAGAAGAGAGGAGGATGAGAGGAGAGGTGGGCAGCGGACCCCAGGTGGGTGCCCGTCCACCTCGGCGGGAGGAGGGGAGGGGAGGGAAGGAGGGAGGGCAGGGGATAGGGAAGAAGGGAGGGAGGGAAAGAGGGAGGGCTGTTGTTTTTTAAAAGCTCAGTGCCAAGCCACAGGCTTTGCCTCCGCATTCAGGAGCAGCTGCTGTACACAAAGGAGCCACGCGCCCGGCGCGGACGGACTGACGGACGGACCGGCCGCCGCTGCTGCCGCCCGCCCGACAAAGGCGGGGGGACCGGCACGGCGGCGGGGCCGGGGGAGCGGGACACGGCGGGGCCGCGGCCGCCCCGCGCTGCCGGGGAGGGGGCGGCTACCCCGGACTCGGTGCAACAGGGCTGCGCTGGCCGGGCGCGCTGCGCTGGCCGGGCGCGCTGCGGGGCGAAGTGCCGAGCGAGCGGCGGCGCTGGCAGCGCTCCCGGGCGGAGCGGCCGGGCCCGCGCCCCTCCCCGCCCCGCCCCCCCCCCCCCCGCCCGCTGCGAGCCCGGAGCGGGGCCGCCAGCGGCTCTGCCCATGGCTGTCCTCGCCCGGAAGGTTCCAGGTGAGTAACTTCCACCGCTTCCACCAGTCTTCCTCCCCTTTTTTTTTTTTTTTTTTTTTTTGGATAATGCACTTTATCGATTCACGCCGCTGCCTTGCTGCGTCAGGTCAGTAGCAGAAGAAACGAGAGTTTTCTAACGTGCTGTCAAGAGCAAGACTTTAAACCACAGTAGCCTGCATCGCTTACAGAAACCTCCTCACACTCTCAAAGTGTCCGGATGGTGAGTCAAAGCAACCCGCTAATAACCCGAATTTGTTTTGTCAGTCGTAGGCACAGCCCAGCCGTATCTGCTCCCTTGCACAGAGCTTTGCTGACTCGAAAATATACTCCAGAACTTTTGGAGAAAATACTGAAGCAGCACAAGGCCGTTTAACCTCACGACTTGAGCCCTGCAGACAAGATGCAAGGAAGAAGGATGGAAACACGCCCTGGCTTCTGTGGCAGGGAGAGAGGATTGCCTTTTGGGTCTAGGGCGGATTTCCGGGCAGTTCTAAATGCAGCTGAAAGAGTGCCCCAGATGGAGTTGACTCCAATCGGCTGCAAAATAGCAATGGTAGCATAAGTAGACAAGGCTTAACTGTACAACAGCAGCAAAACCTTCTCTGAAGGACAGACATCCTGGGCCCATGCTCAGTCCTGCTTCTGATGCCTGCCTCAGGAGCTTAGTGCCCCATACTTGATCTCCAGGCATGATTCTTCACTGTCTGAAAACATTGGGAGCCAACTGTAAAACAGTCAATAGCTACATCATGTAGAAAGGAATATCCTCCCAACTCCATTCCTAGAAATCTTTTGTTCAATATTTGTGGTGGCACAAGTAGCTCCTGGTTGCATAGGACATGCCAGATCACCCTTATTCAGGATAATGATTCTCAAGTATCACACTTTGAAGCAAAGGTGTCTAGCGTAGTATTTTGCACCAAGAGCAGAATTAAACATAGCACAGATAAATATTTGTATTTCCATAGAGTATTCAGAATTCAACTTTCTAGAAAACTGTATGAATGACTAAATGCATCCATAGCAAAGATAACAGGCATACACTGTCAAATACCTAACCCAATTTCATATTCATTGTGGCAACCGTTTTTAACCAAAGGGAAAAGACCAAAACAGTCTGTTGCTAGAAAAGAAATTGTTAAGGCACATTCAGCACAGAGTATTCGCACAGGCACACCCCATATCTGTGGCAAAAAATTACTTATGCTCCTGAGAGATACAAATTGTTCAGAAAAAGACAATGAAGCTGTTTCAGAATGCAACATCACATTAGAGCATTTCTCCAACACAGCGATGGAAAAGTGGTAGTGTACAGGCACAGCAAACACCTTTCAACTGAGGCTGAAAGTAAAAGTAGAATTTTAACCAAGTGCACGTTAGATTAAGCAGATTCTCAGGTATAGATCGTTGCCCTCAAGTTCTGGCCTGCTCTGCTATATGAACACAGCTATTTCCCACTGCATAGCTCTGAGTCTCTACACTTTTGATGAAATCTGAAAGCATATTTCCACCGAAATCAGAGGAAGACTCGGTGAGGAATGGACAGCAAATGATTCCAAGCGTGGCTTTGGTCCTGTTGTCACACTGCAGGCAGGCAGTGCAGGGCTGCAGACCTGCAGACCCATGGGCAGTGCATGGCCTGCTCTGGCTGGGCACAGCTCCTGCCTGGCAGCCCAGCCCAGCCCAGCCCAGCCCAGCCCAGCTCACCTGTCCTGTCCCCCTGCTGCAGGGCCAGGCACAGCAGGTGCTCCAGGGACCTGCAGCTGCTGCCCCTGGGTTGGGAGACTCAGCATCGGGAGATAAGTTAATAATAGTGATGTAAATAGTGATGATTTTTAGTATTCTGCTGTTTCCAACACAGTTCCTTCTGAAAGGAAGAGAACAGGCACAACAGTAATACCTCAAAGTACTCTGTTTTGACATCACTGGTTCAGAAACTTAATTTAATATCAAAACAGACTTAGCATTAAAAAAAAAAGTAATTACATTCAAGCTAGGCAAAACACTCCCAAAGTATTATTTGGTGAAATGTTTTGAAATACTGTCTGTTTATACTAAACTAAAACAGAACTTCAATATTTTCAAAAAAAAAAAAAAAAAATTCCAATTCCTGGCTATACTCTCTCTTTGTCACCTCTACCTAGGGCCCAAAGTAAGTCTTTTACAGAACTAGCATGACTGCAGTGAAATGAATAAGTGATCTAAAATGATCTAAAGAAAAACAGAAGTGAAACTAGGATATATATGCTAATTTATTTTTCTTTTAAAATAAAATATTATGGTTTATGTGATAATGTACCAGAGCGAATTGTACAAACTAAAGAATTAGGCAAGTGTGTGTTTTTCTTTCTCTACACCTCTTCAATGTAGTTTATTAAATAAGTAAACTTGAGTAATCTCTGCTATGCTTTTAATCCATATACATGGCGTCATTATGTGTTTTTTATGGCAATGCATTTATCTCAGGAGTACCTTAAAGATGGAAAATGAGCCAAACTATTTATAACCTTCTGTACATGACGCTTGAAAGGAATCCAACAAATTCTTCTCTCAAGCCATTCTCTTAAAGGTCCTTCGGTAAAACTATGGCTTTGAAATTCTACTTCTTTTTTTTTTTCTTTCAGAGTAGATGGAAGTATGAAGTATTTGCAATTTTGAGTAAGTATTCTTTTTTTACCTGCTGGTTTAATAAAAGCAAGTATCTATCTACAGTAAGTGGAGTACTCCAGTAATTTCCCTGGTCCTGGGTAGCCTCAATTTCAAAGAAACTTTTTGAAAAGTCTTTTTTCATAAAGGTTTGAATGTATGCCTGCTGATGCCAACAATTATGATTCAGGAAGCAACACACAAATGGTGACTCTGTTCCATCTTCAGCTATACTTTCTTCTGACTCATCATCACAATTCAATTTTAAAAGCCATTAAGAACACTCAAACTGCTTTTCTGATGTAAGAACAGAAATTGTATTGAGTGAATCAGTCATATACAGGCTTGAAAGTATGCCTGCACAAATTCTCACTGCTGCCCAGAAACCTTTCAACTTGCACAGGTAAATATGAATGTTCCAAGCCCCTGGCTGATTCCCACACAAGTCTTGCAACTTTTTTTTTTTTTTTAAATTCTTAACACCCAAATTCTCAGGTAGGCAGCCAAGTCCTCCACAAGCACCACACCTCAGCAACCCCCCAGTCTCTGACCATACAATTCCCTCCCTCTGGCAAAGACAGGAAGCATGGGAGGGGCAGGAAAATGAGGGAGAAGGGATGGAATGAGCCAAGGCTGGACTGAAATTCTCTGCTCCAATTTTCCAATGCAGAGTCAGCATTAAAAATATGTGACATTCACTTCCACAATGCAGGGTCCACATCTATTGCCCCAGCCCTCTCCACAGGCTTGGGGGAAGGTGGTTGGATTTACCCTGGGACGTGTGTGGGAGAAACACCCCAATTCTCAGGAGAACATTTACCCACAAACTTTAGAACTCTTAAGTAGAACTTGGCAGATTTTAAAACATCCAGATGAAGTAAGGCACTTTGCAAACTTTAACTCATCCAGACACAACAAGGTACTTACTGGAAATTTTTGGTTCAGCTTTAAGAAGAGGAAAGTAGAAGAAAGATGGAGAAAGAAAAGGGAGAGAGAAAGGTGAATATTCATGATCCTAGGACCCACTATTCCTCCAGTCTCCTACACTCTTTCTTTTGGCTTCTGTAAGAACTGGGAGGAACAAGAGGAAAGGGAGGAAGACAACATCTCTGCTGTCACCTGTTAAGACTGTCTTAGTCCCTTCCTCCCAGAGCACATGTGGAGGATGGAAGAGACAAAACAAAAAGGGTGGAATACAGAAGGAGGAAAGAAAGGCAGAGCACCAAGCAGGTCTGGTTTAGAAAAGAGTCTAAAGCCTCCTCGAATCAATACAAAGTCCCTTTAATTGACTGCAATGGGCTTTGAATTAGACCTATATTCTACTTATCAAGTACAGCTGCTGAGAATCAATAATATTTTGACTTACCCTTCAAAGCAACAACTACACTACTAACTTCTGGCTAAGAAAAAGTACAATTAATAGTATATTAATTCATTAGAGTTTATCTCACTGAAGTTCCCTTCTCATCAGGTGGTAGAGTCAGATGGTGTTTAGAAGTGATCACACATGCATGAATATCCTGTATAAGTGAGGCCATAAAGAAAATACTTTGGTTCTTAACATTAAGTCAGATCAAATATTCATTGATATCTACATCTCTTAGCAA